AGTTCAAACTCAAGGTAACTGGACCTGTCACCTTTCATCTGGGATGTGACTTTGAAAGGGATAGCGACGGAATCCTGTCCATGACACCAAGAAAGTAAATCGAACGTGTCAAGGCCCAGAACGTATCCTTGTTTGGGGAAAATCCATCCACTAGGTCACTCAGTCCAGTGGGGAAAGCCAAGACGACCACCAGAGCTTAATACCTCTCCTCTCCTGGTTGATGATGGGATCTCAAATTACCAGTCCCTGATTGGAGCATTGCAATGGGCAATTTTACTTGGGAGATTTGATATTGCAGTCTCTGTAATGTCAATGTTGTCCTTCAGGGTGGCACCAAGAGTGGGGCACCTGGAAAGACTCAAGAGGATCACTGGATTCTTGGTCAAGATGAACAGGCAGAATCAAGGATCGGTCACCTAACGACGCCTAGGACTACTCCCAACTGGATGAATGACCGAACCTAACGACTGGACCAGGAACGGTCTGACTGCGTGTCGCAGCCTAAGCGGCACAGGCCAGACCGGATCGCCTCGACTTAACTTCCAGCTGTTACGATGCCCCACAGATCCTTATAAGCTACTTTCAATACTACCCAGTCGATCTTAACATAGAGAAAGGGCAAGCCGGTATTATTGACGACCTATGTGGTTGCAAACCTATACCACGATTGGGTAAATGGCAAGGCAGTCACTGGTGTACTGCACTATGTCAACCAGACCCCATTCGAATTGTACTTCAAGAAGCAAGCTACTGTGGAGGCAGCCACATACGGCTCTTGAGTTCGTTGCTGCCAGGGTTGCCACCCAACAGGCCATTGCAGCCAAATTTACACTCAGGTACCTTGCTGTGGAGGTAAAGGGGCCAAAATACATGTTTGGCGACAACGGGTCTGTGGTGACAAGTTCAACCCAGCCCCATTCGCCCCTCAAGAATAGACATCACGCCCTCTCCAACCACTTCGTCAGAGAAGCCATTGCTGCAGGGACCATCTCGTTTCATCATCTACCGTGAGCAATCAACCCCGCAGACATCCTGACGAAACACTGGGGTTACTCCCAGATATGGCCCATCCTGAAGGCAGTTCTGTGCTGGCAAGGAGACACAGCTGATCTCCTGGACACCACCATGGACACATCACATGGGTGGGAGCGATGAGTGGAAATCCACGTGAACTCCCATTTTGGTGCGAAGCAGCTGTGCTGGTTTAGCCAGGTGGTAGAATCGCTGTGACATCTGTATACTCCAACAGTAAGGTCAGCAGTGCAGCCATCTGGCAATACAGAAATAGCTGAGGAACTCTATATACCCAAGGATGATGCAGTTCTTCAGCCAAGACCAATATAGAAAGTTAGCTTGCCAGCACCAGCCAAATGAGATGCAAGAGAGCCAAAGCTGCATGGCTGAGTGCTGTCGAGGATTTGTGTATATGTTATAGTTTAAAGAAGAAGAAGTAATGAAAGGATAGTTGACCAGATACAGCCTCAGTAGCACTAGTTTCCCCACAGTTGAAGCCTTCCTGTGTGGATTGTGCCAAGGCAAAGAGTAAGTTGTTCAATCATTGCTGTGGAGATTGAATAACAGTGGCAGCCAGCTTTGTGGCTCTCACATTCCCAAGTGCCAGAGGAGTGAGACCCCCAAGCAGAGCTCTCCACTCCCAGCTCCTTGTGCACCTACCAGCTGAGTTCCTAACTGGAATTCATAGATTTTGACGAGCCCACTTCAAAATTTCCAAATGTCCACCTTGAGCAGCCCACCCACATGTGCTTGCATCCCATGGACAACCATTTGCACGAGCCCACTTCAAAATTTCCAAGTGTCCATTTTTAGCAGCCCAAGCACATGTCGATGCATCCCATGGACAACCATTTGCATGCAGCCATTGCAGCATTTCCAGCTGCCCATTTACGGCAGCTTTTTCGGATGTTTTGATGATGTCCACGCTCCATGGGAATCCTTTTTGTCATGCCCACTGCATGACAGTAATATTTCCAAGTGCGGCAATGACATTGCAAACATATTCCCGGTCAGGTCTCTTATTGCTGGAATTGTCCTTGTGCCAGTATTCTGTCCGTGGCAAGTCACCAAATGTACCACTGCAAAGAGTGTCGGTGGTTTCTGCTGGGCGTCGATTAGAAAGAATTCCAGGGTAATCGTTTACCATTCTTGGAGTATTATTGAGGTCAATTTCACAGTACTCTTTGTAGAGTTGATTCATCTTTTTGTTGACAGCTCCTAGAAAAGTGTACTGTCCAACACCCACAAATGGTAGGACCCAAACCAAAATGTCAGCAAACAGCAGAGAATCGAAGGGAGGGGACATCTTTTGTTTCTTATTGTTGTTTGCACTGTTGCTATTGGCGGCAGCAGCAGCAGCACCACCATGGGTACCAGTACTGCCGGTAGTGCCAGTACCTGTACCGGTACCGGTATCAGTAGCAATACTACATGTATCAGAAGACATGATCAACAATGAGATATTATGGGGGCTCGTAGC